CACACACACACACACACACACACACACACACACACACACACACACACCACAGCAAGCAAGCAAATAAACGAACAGCAGCAACCACAACAAAAACAAACCATGCTACATGTAACACTGTCAACCTGAAACCACTTCTCCAGGTAGAATGGCTTAATAAATACTTTATTCCAGAGCCACTGGAGACACTGCCTTAGAAAGACAGAGTTCTGTGTGCAGTTGGTAGTGCAGTTTGTGAACAAGATCACATAGCATTTGCATACACTTGCACCCAAGCATGCACACATTCTCTCTCACACACACGCTCATAATACTGCTACTACTACTAATATTAAAAATAAAAATATATCCAGTCTTTTTGATCAATATTTGTTAAGATAGTCTTTTGCTTTATTTTTCCTACAATTCATATATAATAATTAATGGTCTATCACTTTGAAATGCTTCCTTGATGTTAATAGTGCCTGCCTGCCTTCCTTTCTTCCTTCCTTCCTTCCTTTCTTCCTTCCTTCTTTCTTTCCTTTCTTTCTCTCTCTCTTTCTTCCTTCCTTTCTTTCCCTCCCTCTTTCTTTCTTTCTTTCTTTCTTTCTTTCTTTCTTTCTTTCTTTCTTCTTTCTTTCTTTCTTTCTTTCTTTCTTTCTTTCTTTCTTTCTCCTTTTTTTGCTGCTCACTAGGGTTCAGGTCACTGTACAATGTGAACACCATTTCTTTCATATTTTCTTTACCACATACATATGTAGAACTGAAGAGCTGATTAGGTATATTTACTTTCAAATGATATGCAATCTTAATAGTACCACTAAATAAAACTTTTGATGTTTGGTTTTTTAAATAAGAAAGACAGAACTGATTAAGGAGTAAATAAGGGGGGTGGACAATGACCAAAGAGACAATTGGACCAACCTACATTCTCTCCCTCTACAGAAAATAGATTCTTTTCCCACATAATATGTCTTGATTATGGTTTCTCCTCTGTCTGATCCTCCCACTTCCTTCTTCCCATCTAATCAACTCCCTTTTTGTCTGTCAGTAGAAAATAAAAGCCTTAGTATTAAAATATAGCAGAATAAAATATATTAAGATAAAAGGAAAACTATCACATCGAAGTTGGACAGGATAAATTAATGGAAGGAAATAAGATCAAGAGAAGGCACAAGAATTATAAACCAACTCATTTGCATCCTCAGGAATTCCATAAAAACACCAAACTGAGCTGGATATGGAGGTAAGCAGATCTCAATGAGTTCAAGGCCAGTCTGATCTATAGAGCAAGTTCTTGACAGTCAGGACTGTTACAGATAAACACTGATTGAACCAAAGAAAGGAAAACCACTAAACTGGAGGCCATAATATATTTACATGTATATGCATAGGACCTGGTGTAGACCCTTGCAGGCCCTGAGCATGATGCTTCAGTTTCTGAGAGTTAATATGAGATTTGCTCATGCTGATTGAGAGGGACCTGTTTTCTTGGTGTCTTCCATCCATCTGCATCTCACAGTCTTTCTTCCTCCTCTTTTACTGGGTTCCCTGTGCTCTGATGGGAGGGATTTGATGGAGACATCCCATTTAGGACTGAGTGTTTCAAGGTCTCTCACTCTCTATATAATGTCTCACTGTGGGTCTCTGCTGCGAGAGGAAGTCCAAGGCACTTATCTATGGATATCATAAAGAGTTGTTTTATCACTTTTTTCTTAGGCCAGTAGTATTTAGCTTTACCCTCGATCCCAGGGCTAGTTTTTGATTCTTGGTTACAGTGTCAGGTATGGGTTCTATCTCATGGAATGTGTCTTAAGTCAAATCAGTTATCGGTTGTTTACTCCCACAAGCTTTGTGCCACCATTTTCCTAGCATATCTTGCAGACAATACACCATTGTAGACCAAATGGTTTGTGGCTGTCTTGGTGTTCTTGTTACTCTATAGTAGAGTGGAGAGTATCTTCCTACACCCAAAATGCTAGCTTGTAGGGCTGAAGTCTCTAGGTAGGCACCAGCTTTCCTTTTCTATATTCAATCAATGAGTTGTTTACATGTTGTCTTCAGCAATGGGACCTTGGTATCAGTTTGTGGATAGTAACCTATTGTCTTGGTGACATAATGGGTTGTTTGGGGATTTCCCTGGGATCTCTTTGGCCAACGATTCAGTTATACATAACCCAATCCTAGTATAGAAAGCTTGTTTGATTACAAAAAATGAACAGTTGAGACCCTGTCTCTCCCACTGGGAGATTTTATTTAGAATGTCTTCATATATGTATGTATTTTTAGGAAGTTTCTACTGTATTATCTTTCCATACTACTACTCAAATGTCCCTTAATTTTAGTTGTCTCTCCCCATATTTTTTCCCTCAACCTGTTCTGTCTCCACTTGATCCTGCCATTATAGTCCTTCCATCCAAATCTATCCATTCTATTTCTCTTTCCTATCTGTTTCATCTAGTCCCTTACTCTGTATGTAACCCCTCTCGATCTACAGATTGTAACCTGGCCATTATTTATTGAATGGCTAATACCCCCTTATCAGTGAACACATGTATTTATCTTTCCTTTCTTATGTGAGAAGTCCTTCTGTATATGTGTTGCTTTTATTGGTTAATGAATAAAGAAACTGCTTTGACCCTATAGCAGGGCAGAACAGAGCTAGGCAGGAAAAACTAAACTGAATGCTGGGTGAAAAAAGGCAGAGTCAGGAGATGCCATGTAGCCACTGCTGGGAATAGATGTGCCAGAATATTGCAGGTAAGCCACAGCCATATGATGATACACAGATTAATAGAAATGGGTTATATTAAGATGTAGGGGTTAGTCAATAAGAAGCAAGAGCTAATGGGCCAAGCAGTGATTTAATTAATATAGTTTCTGTGGGATTATTTTGAGTCTGGG